CACTGAATTTCAGGGGTAGGTTGAACTTGTTCAGGTTGTTCCCTGACAAAGTAGCTATTACTAACATTGCTTCCTATGCCTGGAGTTTGTTTTGAGTATCACTGGGTAGGATATAATACTATAGAGACAGTTCAGGAGGACACTGGAAGTTGTATATTGAAAAGGGTCCTGTCCTGGATCTTCTCTCACCCGCTGTCATACTGTGCTTCCAGCTGCTTCATGTTGCTAGAGTATGGATACTTACAGAACCTAAGTAACTTTCAACAGCAAAATATCTGTGTCCTAGGGTGGCTGATCCTATTATACTGAAATGCCATCTCTGCCCTGCCTTCAGAGACCAGAGAACTTAGCTACAATCTCTTTGAGCCTAGGGCATGAGATTTGTTAGCTGAAACCTCAGGCTTCCATGAGATTCAGCAGTGAATTCTGTTCTGGATCCCTTCATCTGCTGCTCTTTGTCAGGCTTACTAAATTCATCCAAAAACTCTCTTTCTAAGGGATGACTCAAGATCCTTTTCTCTTATATTCCACCAAGATATTGACATTCTTCTGTCCAGACCAGTCAACTGGAACAAGAGAAAAGGGAGGATTGACTGCCTCTACTTTGCTGTCTTCCCTAATTATTTCAAGTAAGGGCTGTTGTACAACTCTGGACCGTTGAGCAGTTTGTTCTCTTTACCTGCAGATGTCCCAGTTCATTGTCCAGTGCCTGAACCCTTACCGAAAACCTGATTGTAAAGTGGGAAGAATAACCACAACTGAAGACTTCAAACACCTAGCTCGCAAGGTACACCCCCCATTTATGGTCTGACTGTGTTTTAGGCAAACTATGTACCTTTTAAGAGGCCGTTTTCATTATAGAATGTGGATTTTCTGTGTCACTTCCCTTGGCTGGAAAATTAGAAAGATGAAGGTTTAGGAAGAGAAAGTGGCACCCTGTTTGAGGATAGTAGGTCTCTAAGAAACTGCTAGCACTGGGTTTCCTTTTCTGTGATCCCAGCACCAGCCTTCTCTAAAGTACCACCCTTATTCAACTCACAGTCTTGGTGAGAAGGACCCTGAGGCTGTAGGTTGATCTTCTCCCTCATATCATTTCTACTCTGATTGGTGATTGTAATCTCTCTTTTTGTGCCCTGAACAGCTGACTCACGGCGTTATGAATAAGGAGCTGAAGTATTGTAAGAATCCTGAGGACCTGGAGTGCAATGAGAATGTGAAACACAAAACCAAGGAGTATATTAAGAAGTATATGCAGAAGTTTGGGGCAGTTTACAAACCCAAAGAGGACACTGAACTAGAGTGACTTATTGGGCCCCTGGGTGGGAGGACGGGTGATTAGGTAGGACAGGCTCTGGGGAGAACTCCTGTGGGCCCTCTCTGCCCCACCCCCCTATCAGGGTTGTGCTACTGATGACATAACACCCTGGGAAACCTGCAGATTTCAACTGAAAGCCACAAAAATTAGCTTTCATATACAATAACGATCCCTGGTTGTGAGATGTTGGGGTGTGGTTAGAGGCCATCAGAGGCAAGGGCTTAGGGAAGACTTTTCCTGCTAAAACCTGGCCAGGCCTGACCCCACTCTCAAACCTGGGTCTCCTCTTTGGCGGTGCTGTCAGCGCACAGACCATGCGCATCCCTCCCCCTCCCCCCCCAAACACCCCCCCAAGGCCCCTTACCCTGACGATCTGTATTATATTTTAATGTATATGTGAATATATTGAAAATAATTTGTTTGTTTTTTCTCGGTTTTTGTTTGTTTTTTGTTTTGCTTTTAGCCTCTACATGCTAGGATCACAGGAAGACTTTGTAAGGACTGCTTAAGTTCTCCTGCAAGGTTTAATTTGTATCATGTAAATACTCCAAAGCAGGCTGCCTTGTGGTTTTGGCCAGCCTTGTGCTATGTTGATAAGATTGATTTACTGCTTAAAATCACTTTACTTTATTCAATTTTTACTGAACTTTTTATGTAAAAAATAAAATCAATTAAAGAACTTGATAAGTTTGTTCTTTAAAAGTTAAGTGTATTTGTGTACAGTGATAGCACCAGAGAAAGAAAAGAGGGGTGGTGGCCATAGGTGTGTGAAGTCCAAAATTAATACTGGAGAGTGGAATTTATCACAGATCTTGTTTCCCATCTGTGCCATGGTTGATATAGGTGTATGCAAGCTTGGACTATTGGGGTTTTACTCAGGGTTGAGGTCAACTTGCATGTTCATTACAGAGCAGAGGAAGTGGACCTGAGGTCTTGTTTGCTGTGGACTTTGGAACTTTAGTCCGTAGGTCATTCAAAAGAAAGGCAGATGGCTTCCCCTTTATATAACTCCTGACTAGGGAAAGACATTGACCGTCTTCCCTCCAGACACTTTGCTTGGTTGATGTTTGATTCCCTGACCTCTCATCACCTCCTTTGACAGTGAGCTTGGACTTCAGAGGGAAGGGTGGTGGTACAGTGCATAGGTTGTGATGAGAGTGAATATCTGGAGGATGCAGGGCTCAGTGGAGGCACATACCACTCTGGCTTCACCCCACACACACACACACCTTGATGAATCAGTTATCTGCTGAGGGGCAGGATAATAGCCATTTTTCTGTCCTTCCTTGGTAAACCTGCTTCTCCCCAGAGTGGGCTTGGGTATGGTACATATGGTACAGGTGGTTTAGCTACAGATGCCCTGAACTCTGCCCCTCAGGTGGGTGGGATGACCTCCCTGCTCTTGGCTTGTGTAGAGCCACGTAAGTAGCTGTGAAAGTGTGTTTGGGACTCCTCCTGAGTCTGGAGGGTGGTTCTTGTAAGGAGAGGCACTTCCCGATCTAGCGTGCTCTCAGGGCTAGTCTGCCTCTTGCCATTTGCCCAGAGGGGCAGGCATCCAGCTGCTCTTGGGGAAGAAACCTGGATCCTCCCCTTCCCCCAGACCAATCCGAGAGCCTTAGGGATGGGGCATCTCCAAGGTTCCCTGAGTTCTGTCTTTGCTGTTGTGCCATCTCCCATCTGACAGACCAGCTGGATCTACTCTGGGAAACTGCCCTTTTTCTCTCTCTGACTTACTGCATTTACTTTCTCTACTAGGCACTAACCTGGATGGTGGGAGCACATTAATTCATGTTGGTCTCCATGGTTGCTTCTGTGTACAGAGACCTTGTGAATATTTGCAAAATAGATCAGACTGGAAAGGAAGTAAATGCTGCTACTCACTTTTGCCTTGAGGCGAGTTGTCCCTCAGTGTAGGCAGGGCACAGTGACTCCAGAGCCTATGACTGGTTGTGATCTCCCCACATATCCTACCCAGTGCCAAAGATCTGGATCGTGAGGTTTTAAAGATTTATTTATGCATACAGAACTGGGGTACAGGGGCGGTAAGAGGATTTACCAGAGACAGTAGGGAGCAGAACAGGCACACTGCTGAAGGGAGCAGCAGGTGTGTCAGGAGAGGTCTGCCGCGCCATTTGGATCACGTCTGGGGCTGGGGATCAAACTCTCATTGAAGCGGCCATGACTAGCTTGCAGCTGCGCTTTAATCCATTGTGCCACCAAGGAGGGCCTGGGTCGTCAGGTTTTTACCCACATGGACTATGCTTTCCCCAGACATGCCTAGAGGTAGAAAGCACTCCTAGAGCTCCATCTCTTGGAGAAGGGGGTAGAGTGTCATGGGCAGGGGGATTGGGAGAATTAGCAGTATGTAGGGATGTTATGGAAGTCTTCAAGCTTGACACTGGGATTCCCTTGGGGTAGCCTCACCCTCTTCTGGTTCACTTCAACCCAATTCATTCCAGGGAAGGGTACCCCTCCATTCCCAATCACCTATCTAGGTAAGTTTTCCTCCTATATCAGATGGGATGGGGGTGAGAGAGCTGGTCCCATCTGTCCAAAATTGGAGGAGCCTGCATGTAGTTCAGAACAGGGATGGACCTATTGGGAAGCACCTGTTTCAAAGAAACTAGCATATTCCTGGGTCCAGGGATGGCAGGGGAGAAACAGCTCTCAGTCTCAAACTTACTAAGTGGCTCCCCTAGACTTCCCAGCATGAGCCCAGAAACCCAACATCTGAACATCCCAGCTGGACTCCTGGAGTGACTGCTCCCATTCCTGCCTCTAGGGTCAGTGTCAGTCCTCACCTGCTCACAGGCTGGGTGGAAGGATACCTTTGTGGTTCAGCAAGGGCAGAGGGCATATGGGCACTCAATCATCAGGGTCTACTGGGCTGATGCTGAGGAAGTGAAGTCTAGATCTGATCTTAGAAAGGATCTTGCCTGCAAAAGGGATGGAGAAGAGACCTGGGGGAGCCCTCCAAGCAACAACTACTACACGTAGGCCTGGTCCACCTCATGGACTCCGGAATCTGCTTCCTTGAGCCAGGCCTTGGGCCTTTGTATATGACAAAGTCTGAAAGTGCATCTGGAAAAAAGCTGCAGTGGCCCTTGCCACTTGTGGAGTGTGTACATTGCTATGGTCCTGTGTGGGGCCCTTCTAGAATGTGGTTGGTACATGAGCCAGACTGTGTGCCTGCCACATACCAAGCTATGAGAGATTGGCGATGTGTCTGTCCTACCCACCTCCAGGCCCACAAAATCAGCAGTACCCCACATACCCACAGTTCTGCTTTTTACTCTCATTCCAACACAAGCCACCACAAGGCACCACAGTGGAGAAAACACTTGAGGATGGGAAATGACAACTTTGGAAGGCCTGTGTCCCCAACCCACTCCTGACTTGTGGCAGTTGCCTCTCCACACAGCTCCTGGGATCCACAGCCTGGCAGGACTAGTACCTCAACCACGTGAGCAGGCCAAGAAGAATGAGTGGAGTCCCTGGGGAATGCAGGTGGCAGTGCCTCACCAGAGACAGTGGGCAGAGCCCTAACACACAGGAGTGTTGAAGCTGGGGATGGGTCTCCTTGGAGGATTCATGCACCTGCAGAACAAGACCCTGGAACCGTGGTTGGCCAGGGGCAGGCTGAACGGCAAATAAATTTGGAGGCAGAACAGGTACAAAACAAGGCCATGTTTATTGCCAAGAAGGCGATGGGGGTGGTGTGGGGGGGGCGCCTTTAGGATTAAGGCCATAGCCCGGCCGGTGTTCTACCAGGGCCGACCAGGGAATTAGAAACCTAGGCACCCCTCGCCCCCGACCAGGCTGTGCAAAAAGTGCTGTGCGGGCCCGAGGTCCCTTGGAACTCCTGGCGGCCCCTCTGCCGGCGAGGGGCGGGGCTTCCTGGAGTGACTCTGCCCACCAATCCCTGAGCTGGGCGGGAGTGGTCTGCCCACCCCCGAGTGCGGGCCAATGTCTGTGTCCTCGCCGCGGGGCTGGGCCTGGCGGGGCGGAGCCGAGCTGCGGGCCCAGGCAGGCTCTCAGCGAGCCTCTTCGGGCCTGTACTCGGTCTCCCCGGAGGACACCTGGGAAATGCGCCGCGAGGACCGCCACAGCTTCCGCGCGAACTGACTGCTTCGCACCTGGCGGAGGGAGAAATGCGGTAGGAGCGGCCGGACCGAGGCTCCCGCCCCATCCGAAGCCCGCCCAGCCCGGGTCCTCACCTCAGAGGGCTGCCCGGCGCCCACCACGATCAGCTTGCCATCCTCCAGGCCCACGAGTACGTGACTGTGCTCCTTGGTCACAGCCACGCTGCGAATGGGCACCTTCATGGGCAGAGGAGGCGCCGCCGGAAGCAGTCTGCGGGGAGGGAGGGCGCACAGGCGAGATGTACACACGCTGTCAACCTCTGTAGCTTTGCATTTAGCTACTTCGTTCTCCCGTGTACCTCTCCTGTCCTCATTTTAAGGATAACTAAATGAAAACCCCAATACATAAAGTAATCTCCCACAACTGTGGCTACCGAAGACCCAAGGCAAGAGCTCCCCGCTGGGGCCAGGTGATAGGTGATAGCCTTTGAAGAAGATGCTCGCACACATTCCTGAAGGGGGACGGGTCTGCCTCCTAGTGTCCTCTAGTAAATACCACCATCCTGCCGAGCCATGAACCCTAACCCATGGGGCTCACTTGTTCAAGTGGAGGATGTGCAGGGCACACTGGGCAGTGCCCAACAGAACAAAGTCTTCAGCCACTGCCAGGGCTGTGGGCTGCTCTGTCAGAGGAAGTGAAGCCCTCAGCCTCCCGTTCACTGAGTACAGGTGCAAGGAATAGGTGACCTGGAAACAGCAGCAGGTGTCAGCAAGAACAGAATCCCAATCACCCGTCTCCGGTAGGTGCCCTTTTCTTATACCTGTGCCCCTAGACGTTCCCATGCCGAGCTCTGTACCACAATCTGGCCCTCAGACCCCAGCGCCAGGTGGGATACTGGTCCAGGCAACGCAGCCCCAGGGGGCCTCAGTGCTGCCACAAACTGGCCACGGCGGACAGTGTGGATGATCACAGTTCCATCCTGTGGGAAGGCAGCTTAGGGGGGGCTCCAAGGGCAGCACCCAGCAAGCTCGGCCTCCCAGAGCACAGGCATACACACACCTCAGATCCAGACACAGCCATGTCAAGTTCTGTGCTGATGGCCACGCAGCTCACTGCAGCCTCATGCCCATAGAGGACCTGCACAGGCTTTGACGCCAGTCCTATGGAGAGGCCACCCTGTGGAAAGCCAGGGCTGGTTCAGGGCTGGCCTGAGGGAGAAGGCTAATTCCAGAAAAGTGAGGAACCCCACCTTTACTCATGGCAGTGGAGGGAAGGGGAAGACAGAAGAGCAGGACTGGAGGCAGATGGACTATAAATCTGGACTATGGGGCCCCACACAGTGAACCTGATGCAGGAGCCGCCACACCATGCATGTGGTGTCCCGGGAGCCTGAGATGAGGTAGATGCCACAGGTGTCCAGTGCAAGGCAGGTCACTACATCTGTGCAGGGAGGGGTGGGGCAGGTAGAACAAAGTGGTCACACCCTCCCTTCCCTGGCCAGCCTCGTAACCTGCGCCACAGGCACCACCCACAACGCCAGGGCTGCTCATACCAAGGTGGTGGTGAAGCTGGCTCAACAACTTGCCCCGGGGTAAGGCAGTCACCCGCAGGCTGCTGTCCCAGTGGCCACCACTAAACAGCAGCTTTCCATCAGGGGCCACTGCCAGGGCTCGCCCATTCACGCCACTGTCTGGAATCCAGGGGCCGCTCAGTAGTCGCTGCATCCTGACCCATGAAAAGGAGGGCAGGTGAGGCCAGGCCACGTACAAGACCCAGGCCTTCAGAGACCTTGGCCAGGACTACATCCGGCCCAAATTCTGATTGGATGGGACACGTCAGGGTGCAGGGTATTTACAGCCCACGGCCCCCACAGCCCTCTGTCCTACTTGGGGTTGCCCATGGTGGAATCTTTGCTGAAGCTGAAGTAATTGCTTATGTTGCGATCATAGGGCAACCAGTTGTGGGTACCCAGCAGCCCATTGGCGCTCACGGTCACCTGTGGGCAGGAGAGACCAGAGTTGGATTTGGTGCAGAGCAGAGAGGGACTGGAGGTCAGTGACCAGGCACTTACCAGCAGGTCTGGGGAGCTCTGGGTGATGAAGGAGTGGGGCTGCCGGTGCGGAACCAGGGCCAGCACCAAGGGCACGCCGTCACTGACAACCTGCAGGGTGGAATGCAGGGCTAGCTGCACCAGGGCAGGGCAGCGGCAGCCAGCAGGGCCCTCCCTACACCACCTGCTCTGGGAGACACCACTCCTCCCTGTGCCCTCAGCCCGGGGGTCACAGCCAAGCATCACGAAGCAGGGTTCCTCCAGAAATCAAGCATGAGCGACCAGTGGGCGATCAAGAGACCCTCTCAGAAAGCAAAAAGCCAGGATGAACAAGAAAGTTTCTTCCCGAATCGCAGGCTTGGTCTCAACATTACTCCTCCCATCCCTTTACTCCAAGTCCCTTTGCAGTAGGAGAGGTGTCTGAAAAACAGGCCTAGAACCATTCTGGGATGCAGACAGGAAAGTGAGGAGGGACATATAGGACTTTCAGATTGACCAGGTGAGTATCCCCTTTTCCCGAGCTTGCCCCCGCTCCCCCATCTGCTCCCATATTCCTCTCACATGTCTCTTCCAAGATTTCTTAGTATCAGTGACCTTGACTTAGGTTTTCCATCTACCCCAAGAGGCTGGGAGTAGGGCTAATCCATGAGAAGTTGAGGACCTGCCTCTTCTCACCTCTGCGAAGAAGGCCTTGAGCTGGTCCAGGTGCTGGAAGATACTAGGTGAGTTAGTGTCCAGACGTGCAAGGCGTTGGGCTGTTTCCTCCGCTGACAGCCGAGCTGGATGTGGCTCCTGTGGGCAAGTGGCTGGTCACCACCGTGGCAAGAGCATCCCTGACCCGTGACTCCGAGTTGCCCTTACCTTCAGCAGCTGACAGGGGGTCTGCCCAAAGTTGCTGATAATGCCCTCCAGAGCCTTCCGTTCTCGCTCGTCCACCACATGATCCAGGTCCACAGCCCCTTGGGCAGGCAAGCAGAACAATCAGTGCCCTCAGCACTCCTTGCCTGTGCCCCCACTGCCCCCAACCTCCGTGCAGACCACTGCCTACCCTCATAGGTGCAGTAATAGAAGACATTGAGGGCCTCCTCTGCCGCTGGACCCCGCTGCTTGTAGCCAAAGATGAGGTCGATCCACTCGTGCAGGTGGGCGGACACGTACTCTGACTCCTGGGTGGGAAGGGCAGTCAGTCTAGGGCGAGCCCAGCCCACCCGACCCTCCGCCCCACCAGTGTGCTCCTCACCAGAGCCCGGCGGTGCTGCTGGATGAAGTCCTCAGGGGAGCTGGCCCAGGGGGGTAGCACCACGTCGTCCACCTTCTCGTTGGTCAGCTGGAGACAGCCCAGGTCAAAGCCTGGCACAGAGAACTGGATCAGCCATCTCGCCACCGTCACCTGATCCCTGGTTATCCTCTGACCAGTCTGTTCTCTCCATCCCCCCCTGCCCCGGCAGCGCCTACCATTCTGGTTCTCCAGGAAGTCGGGGAAGTAGAAGAACTCTGGGATGAGCTCCTTCACATCAGCAGGGCTTTCCAGGCGGGCCTGCCAAGCTGCCGCCACAGAGTGGAACTGCCGGTCAGAGCAGTCAAAGCTGGGGGAGGACATGGGCCAGAGTGAGGTCGGGAGACGGGGGTCAGGGAGGATGACGGCGTAGCTGGGCAAAGAAGGGATCCAGAGATCGGCCCCTTCCCCCGCTCTGCCCATCTACCCATCACCACCCACTGGGCCCCACCGGCCACTCTGCAGCTGGACGTGCAAGGAGGTGAAGGGTTCCATGCGGATGAGGTAGTGCATCACGCCCGCTGCATTGGAATAGTGGGTGCCGTAGTGGAACTTGTCAATCGTGCCAGCTGGGTCCTCAAAACTCTCATACCTGGAGCCACAGTTAGGGGTTATCAGCAGAAACCCTCCCCTTGCCCATCCCAACCCCCAAGTCCAGCCCACCCATGTGCTCACTTCTCCCTCACGAGCTGGGCATGCTTGGGGTTCACCACACCGATGGGCTTGGACAGGTCCCGGAACACGGCGGGGTTGCTGAGGTCCAGGGTTGGGGACACGTAGTCCTGTAGGACCCAGGGGAACTGGCCGCCCACCCGGGCAGGGGATGCATGAAGGCCCTGATGACCTAGCTGCCCACCCTGTCCCTCACCCTCAGAAGACGGGGATGAACCACTCGGTAGGGGCGGGGGGGGGATACAGAGGACCAGGATGGACTGTCCTGGAGCAGGAGTCCCTCTGGGAAGACTAGAGACTAGGAGGACGGCTGGGTATGGGAGGCAGGCAGGAAGAGGCAGCGCCCACCCAGGTCCAGGCTCAGGGTTGCCTGCGCTTGGGGGAACCAGGGCTGGCAGACCAGAGGGGCAGGGGTGGGGTACGCAGCCGACCCTCACCACAGGGTATTGAGACAAGTCGTTGTAAGTCCGTCCCGCAATGGTGTTGAGTTGCATCAAGTACTCGAAGTTGGATATCTCACGCTGTACCCATTTCTGGGGAGCGGGTGCAAGTAAGAAGTGAGCCAACCGGGCTCTCCAACACTCTTCCTCAGCGCCCCCACCTCAGCCCCCATCGCCTTACACCCCAGAGCTCTTACCTGAGTGAGGCCAGAGGCACGTAGCATCTCCTGGGGGGAGCGGCTGCTCAGGTAGCCTTGGCTAGGGGGCCGCAGGCGCAGGAGCCATGAGTATACCTGGTTCCGTACCTGGGTGTGGGGTGGGATGGGGCGGGGTTGGGTCCTGGGGGCCTGGCAAGGAGTTGAAGCTGTGGACCCGCCCACTTTACATGGGAAGTTGAGGAAGTAGTTCGCCTGATCAATGAAGAAGAGTTCAAGCGCTGAACGGCGCAGGTTGAAACGCCGAAGGTGGACTTCACGCAACTGGGCCAGTGGACGCCGGAAGTCATGGCCGATGCCTGCGGCGAAGGACAGGGGGTCCAGGAGTCAACTGGCCTGGCCCCACCGGACCCCGACCATGCCCTGCCATCACGCCGTCGGGACGTACCCTCTTCTGTTTCCACACGCTCAGTGCTGCCATCGTAGAAGTACACGTGCTGTGTGGTGACCTCCAGCAGCCCGGGGACCACGGCCACCACCGTGACTAGCTGGCACTCAGCTGACAGCACCAGCTTCTCATGCTGCTCGTCCAATTCTGCAGCCTCCATCCTAGACACCAGTACTGCTTCAGGCGCTGGGTTCTGGGGCCCCCCTTCCCAACAAGCCCAAGGACCACCAAGTGCCACCGAGTCACAAGTCCGTCTCATACCTCCCAGAGGAGAGGAGGAACTGCCCCGGGTCTGGCGCTCACTGGCCCCGGCACCACCCCCAACCTGGGTCTCTGAATGTGGCAGTCCTGCCGGTCCACCAGCTCCTACCCACAGCGCCTGCCTTGGGCCCCATCCTGCTCTGATTCGTGTTTCTTGGTCCTGTTCTGGGTAACCTCACCATGGTAAAGCAACATCCTGTTTGACAGCTCCCTCCAACCCCACAGCTGATTTTGAACAGTCCCTTTAGGGCGTCAGCCCTGCAGTCAAGGAGGAAATGCACTCGGGAACCAACCCCACGGCAGGCGTGCCCCACCGGAGCAGACCAGTGCCTGCCCGCGGCGCTGTCCTGGGCACACTCACGCCGTCTCCAGCGCAGCCAGTTCGTCCTCCCCTAGCTGGTCTTCCTGCAGCTCCTCGGGCAAAGTGCTGACTTTGGCCTCTTTGGTCACCGCTAAAGGTAGTGAGGTCTCCTCGGTGGGCGACAGGGGGGCCTCACCTACAACAGACCCAAGGGCGCTCAGCAGAGCAGGGCAGGACAGGGATGTGAGGAGGGTGGCTGCAGCCCCGCATCCCTTCTCACCCAGGTTGTCACGCTGGGCACTGGCTTCCAGGTGGGGATTGAAGTGATGGTTGGGCACCAGCTTCAGGCGCATACGAGAGTATGTCTCTGCACTGGACAGCTTCCAGTGAGGGGTGGGCGGGTCCCTGCAGGCACATCCCCAGTGTGGTCACAGGGGGTTAGGGGTTGGGGGGAGCCCACCCCGTTCCTCCCAGGTGTCACCCCAAACACAGATTAGCGCTCCAGACCCTCTCTCCAGCCCGCCCACCCCACCCCGACTCCGCCCAGCGCCCTGCCCACCTCAGGGCCCAGGCCCCGCAGGGGCTGGAGAGCTGACGCCACAGCGCCCCCCAGTGCAGCAGGGCGGTGGAGTGCTGTGCGGTCTGCTGCTTCTGGGCCGCCGCAAAGCGCAGGCCCTCCAGGCGCGCTCGCCGCTGCGCGGGTTCCAGCACCAGCTCCTGGGGCGCGCGGGAGGACGAGGGCTGAGGCTGGCGCCCGCGTCCTGCGCGGCTCCACTTCCTCCACCCTGTCCCAGCAGTGTCCCCAGGCCACACACCTGGAAGGCCCGACGACTAAGTCCCCGCTCCCGCTGGCGCCGCTGCCCACTGCTCATGAGCGTGTCGTAGCAGGCGTTCCAGAAGCCTGACATGAGGTCGTGGCTCTTCGCGTAAGTGTCCATTTCAAACTGTGACATGGCGGGCTGGACCTGCAGGGTGCCCAGGAGCGGAGGCCAGGGCTCAAGGCGGGCCCCCGCCTCCCGTCCCCACCTCTCACCCCGGGCCCCCACCTCCAGGCACCTGCTTGTCGATGAAATGGCGCCATTCGGGCGTGGCACAAAAGGCCTGGAAGTCCTCAAAGAAGGTGGGGCTGCCGTTGGTGGGTGGCAGGGACGGCAGCCCCCACTGCAGCCCCAGCGGCTTGTAGGCACGATCCAGCAGCGTGCGCACCAGCGGCACCAGCCACGAGCAGCGTTCCATGGCGGCAGCGGACAAAACTGGGGGCTCCGCGCCCTCAGCTGCCATGTCGGCGGGGGGGGCGTGCAGCGCCCGGGAGAGCACAGCTTCGAGCTTGGAGAGCACGTAGCAGGCTTCCTCGCGGCGCATGGGCACCGCGGTCTGCAGCAGCGAGTGCAGCTTCACGTAGGCCTGTGCGTGCAGCTGTGGGCACAAGGCGGGTGTAGGTGGGGCCTGCCCCTCCCCCACCCCGTGCTCCCTCCACTCGCCGCTTCTCTCCTCCGTCTGCCCGTGCTCACCTGTGGGTCCTCCAGCAGGATATAGCCGAGCACCAGGCGTAGGCCAATCTGTGCCATCTCCCGCAGGTCCGCCGTGCCATTGGCCAGGTGCGGCCAGGCTCCCAGGCGGTCTAGCAGGCTGCACACACCTTCAAAGAGCTGCCGCACACCGGGTTCCAGGTGGCGTCCCCAGAGGAGGCAAGGAGCCCATGGGGAGGGAGCAAGAGCAGGTTGGGGCTGGGGCCAGGGCATTTGCACATCCAGAGTCCACATTCGGGCACCCGTGTTAAGGTAACATGACTGCACGTGTATTCACTCCCCTCCCAGACTGGCTCACAGGGTACGCGCACACGGGGTACCCTTCTGAGCTATCCTACCTTTTCACTCCACAGCTCCTGGTTGCCATGGCCCTCAGCACACAGGAAGTCCTGCAGCAGGCGCAGGAGCCAAAGTGCCTGCTCCGTAAGGCTGGCCAGGACCCCAGGGGACCCCTCTTTGATGTCCGTCAGGGCTGACTCCAGCATCATCTCCAGGAGGCTGGGGGGTGGGCAAGGAACTCAGCTGTCTACTAGCTCCTTGTCCACAGGATTCCAGGAGGCCCCTCAACCTCCTGAGTTACCCCCTTACCTGCGCTTGATGCAGTCTGGGGGGCGGACAAGTGTGGCTGAGGCCCCCAGCTGGGTGAGCACCGAGAAGACCTGGCCACGCTCCCTCCAGGCAGCCTCGTCGCTGCCTGTCACCCCCCGCCACGTCACCGAGAACAGCACATTGGTGAGTAGGTTGCACAGCTCCTCCTCAGAGGTTTGCTATGGGTACAGGTGGGCAGTGTAAGGGGTGAGTGGGGCGGAGGGCTGACCCCCATGCATCTGTGTGTGGAACCCCCCTGTCCTCCTCCTACAAGGGCATTCGGCCAACAAGTAAGCCTAGCTGCCTGGAGCCCAGGAAGGACCCTGGGCAGTCGGGACCCCTTAGAGAATGAGGCGGTTCACAAAAGTATCCCACAGGCCGCACAAGCCTTAGGAACCCTGGAGCTCTCTAGAAAAATGCCATAGAATCTCCAAACCCAGAATTGCAAGGCAGGGCCCTTAGAGCCTGGAAAGCCTCTGCCTTCCTGAAATCTGGCTGGCGCCCCTTTCTCTCCATGTGATTTTCCCTGTCCTGGGGTCCCACTGGGAAGATAACTGCAGAGAGCTGCAAGGGGAGACAGTGGGTTCACACGGCAGTCTCAGGCCCAGTGTGAAATGGGGACACATCTTGGAAAGACCATGCAGCTTGGGCCGGGTCCCACAACTAACCCGGCTGGCGGCAAGCCTCACCTGCGGATTGCTGGTATTAGAGGCATTATCTCCATTGATGGCGGGCTCCGGGAGGCTGCCATCCTCCAGCACGTTGGAAAGACTGGAGCTGTGGTGGCCAGGGGCAGCAGGGAAGGGCCGGGGTCCATCGAGTGGGGAAGGTGTCCCGGGGTGGCTGGCTGGAGTGAGGGTCCCACTGCTGCCACCAGTAGTATTGCCCGAGCCCACACTGGCCCGTTCCAGGCCCAGGTCAAAAGGTGTGCAGAAGGGGGAAAGCGCGTGGTAAAAGGCGTCAGGGTCAGGGCAGGGGGCCTCGGAGGGCAGGAAAACATCGGAAGGCTCAGGTGACTCAGTGGACGGCTTGGATAAGGCCGACTCCGGGGAGGTGGACACCTCTGGGGTCAGAGGCAGGGGACTGTCGGCCGTGGCGGCCTCCAGGACATACAGCCGGGTCAGCACGTCCTGCCAGCCGGCCTGTCGGGCCAGGAGCTGCACTACTTCTGGCTGTCCGTAGATGAGGTGGAAGAGCTGTGGAGGAGGCACAGCAAGTGAAGGACTCACTGGCCGCCCGCCCCGACCCCGCCTCTTGGGGCTTTTGCAGACCCCTCATCACAGGCAGGCAAAGCAGCTAGGAGCCCCTGTCCATACACATACACACTTACCAAGCGACAAATGTCCAGGCGGACACTGAGGTCAGCCTGCAGGGACAGCTGCACCACAGCCAACAGATCTGAGAGGTTGGGGTAATCTGGAAGAATGGCCAGAGGGCGCCTGAGGCACTGGCCCGGGAGGGGCTGTGCTCCCGCTGCTGGCTCAGGCCGGCCCCGCACCAACACCTTCCCTATTGCCACCTGCCCTGTTTGCTGCATCGCGGACACCCCTCCACTTGGCCTGCCTCTTGGCTCCAACCAGGTTGTACCTGCCCCCAGGAACAGCCTGTAGAGGCCCTGGCAGAGCTGGGGGGAAACGATCCCCTCGGGCAGGCAGGTGACGAGCCCCAGGAGGCCACACTCTCTCAGCCGGAGGCGCTGGCGGCTGCGCTCAGGTAAGCGCTCGTTCTGCTGCAGTCTGCGCAGGATCTGTGTGGGGGCCACAGAGGGCGGGGGGGGGGGGCGTCATCACGGGAAAGGAGCCACCGAAGAAGGGGAAGTCGCCGCGCAGGTGCCTGGCTCCAAGAGAGGCCTGTGAAGCTAGCTTTATCCACCTGCCCAAAGCCTGCCGACCTCTCTGGACCTCGGGCGGGGGCTGCAGGGAATGGAAAGCCAGGGCTGGGGTGGGCTGGGTGTACCTTGCAGACTCGGTCGGGCAGCAGGGGCAGTGACCTTGGCCGCACCAGCAATGCCAACAGCACCTCAAGGTTCCCTGGCTCGAGTAGGAAGACAGCTAAGGACTCCTGTGCCGGAGAGGACTGCAGCAGGGTCAGCAGCAGGTCCAGGGCGCCCACCACCTGAAGATGGAAAGTCTCTCACTGGGGCGGACTCCCCCAGCACGAGGTCCACACACCACCCCTCACCCAGGTCCCACTCTTACCAACCTTCTCGCCTACCTGGCTATCATCACCTGCCGCCGCCAAAAAGCTCAGCACCACCTGCATGTCGTCAGCCGAGGAGCTCCGGACCAGGAACTCCCGGGCCAGACCCAGGAGTGAAGTCTGCACAGTGCGCAGGTCGTCAGCCGCTAGGGGGCGCTCCCGCTGCGGGCTGGGCCAATCCCAGCAAGCACACCCACCCGGACCAGAAGGCAGAGTCACACAGGGTAGAGAACAGCGGAGAGTGGGCAAGTGAGCTGGGGGACGATGCTCCCTGCCCCCAAGGTCAGAGCCCTGTGTCAGCCCCCTGGCCCCTCCGCCCTCCCACCGGCCTCACCTGTAGTGGATGCGCAGGGCATCTAGGATGAACTGGACCCCGTATTTCTTGCGAAGCTTCTGTCTGTGCTCGCGGACTATGCTCGACATGTACTGGATGTGACCTGAGTGGGCATCAGCAGAGGGCTCAGGCCACCGGGTTGAGCTGAGCCCCATCCCGTCCTCCAGGGCAGGGCCATACCTGCCACACTCCCCCAAATGTCCCAAGGCGAACAGACCCCCCCTACAACGGAGAGGTAACTACTCAGGACTTCCACCCCCTCCTTCCCCTCACCAGGTCCCCATTACCCACCAAGCCGTACAGCAAAGTCGCTGAGCGTCCAGAGGTGAAAGTTGAAGAGCAGATGCTGATACAGCAGGTAGAGGAGGGGCCCACTGCCCTCAGCTGCCACTTGCTCCATCAGCAGCTGGGCAGACATGAGCACATTCATGTCCATAGCCCAGCTGGGGACCTGGAGTGGGACACGGAGCTGGGGTGAGATGTCACATGCATGTCTGCTGCTGAGTCTCCCAGATTCCGCCCTCCCCCTCACAGGCAGAGGAACACATATCCTGCCCGCTCAAAACCCTTCAGCGATTGCCTGCTGTCTCTGAAGTGCGGGCTCCCACGGTGCGGGCCCCCTGCCCGGCCTGCTGGCCAGTCTCCCAGATCCTCTCAGCCAAACCTCGCCCAGCCTTTCAAGGCCCCACTCAAAGGCCACCTCTGCCCGGGCGGATCTTTCTCACTAACAGGGCATCACGTTCCTCTTTCCTGGTCCTCCACCCAAGCCCCTTGCTCAGGACAGCTCCGCCGGCCCCACCAGGTCCCACCTTGCGCAGGAGGGCCCCGATGATGGCAGGCCCCTGGCACTGGACCAGGCTCTCCTGGTTGACAGTGTGGCCCTGCAGGAAGTTCCGCACCATCAGCAGAAAGGCGGCCACTGCGTTCCTCTCCATGCGCTCCTCTGCTGGCCACCAGCAAGGGAACAGATGCTGTTAAGGGCCTGCCAGTGGCCACAGGCCCCTCGAGCACTCCAGCCCCCAGCCTGCCGACCCAGGCATTGGGGATTCTTACCTGAGGACTTGCCCAGGGGGAGAATCAGGCCCTGGGTGTTGTGGCTAGAAGTCAGTTCGGGCCCCACGAGGTCATGTGTTTCGGCTGGGCCTGCCTCAGCCTCTTGGGGCTGTGCAGCCACTCGCTCCAGCAGGGGCAGCAGTGCACCCATGCCTCCCACACAGTTCACCACGTCCTGGGGGTCGGGGGGCAGCTGTGAGTGGGCAGGGTTCCAGCCATTTCCCGGGACCCACCCAGCAGACCCCCAGTCTGGGAACGTGGAATTTTTCCTCTCTTTATCTGGTCTCCTAAAGTCCTCCCAGGGCAGAGTGCCACTGCCCAGCCCACCCTGCCACGCTCACGCTGTCTGCACACACTTTCCCCAGGTACACACACATACCTTCACGTCCCAGGTCTCCACCCTGTGGCCCGTCAGACGGCCATCCAGCCCATGGCCAGGGGACAGGTCCAGGCAGATGTTGTTCTTACAGGCCTGGGGGCAGGGGGTGAGCAGGCAGCAAGGGTCAGATGGACGGGGCAACACACAGAGTATAGAAGTCGGGGGTGAGGGGGCGGTTTGCAGGGCTGAGTCAACTACCTCCCCCTCCCCCACCCCTCATGTACCTGAGGCGAGTAATGGAGGAGGAGCTTGGTGCCAAGTTCATGCAGTTCCCCCTCAGGCTTGAAAGGTGCCGTCTCGTTGGGCCCTAGAGCATGGGTAGGGGGCTTCAGACCTGGCTGGGCCTTTGGCTAAACCCTGTCCAGAGCCTACCTCTTCTCTGACCAGATACGTCCGCTTCCCTGGGCCTCTAGTTTCTATCCTGAGCACTTTGCAAAACCCAACCACCTGGTCTTGGGCAGGGGAGGGGCTGGGACAGGGCAGGGTAGAAAACAGGCATACCTAGGGTGCACAGGGCCTGCAGGGCTTGCATCTGCAGGGCTTCATGGAAGATGGCCACGGCCCCCAGCTCCCCCTCCAGGGACGTGGGGCTGCCCCACCGAGTGTCCTGAGTGCCTGCGAGGGTGGAGCTGATGCTGCCCTCCTGCAGGGGGGTCGCCAGCCCGGAGCCCCAGCCGAGCCCTGTGGTGGCTGGGACTGACTGGGAGCGCATGAGGGAGGGATGAGTGTGAGCCGGGGCAGCGGGGGCTGGTGGCGCAGGCAGCCCCATGGTGGTGGTCGTTGTGCGGTGCCCAGCAGAGCCGATGCAGCAGGAGGAGAAAGGCTGCGGGGCCAGGGTTGGGGAGTGTTAGGGTCACAGCAAGGTCTGGGGTTCCACCTGCATCCACTTCCTCACAGTGACCCCTCCCATGCCTTCACAGACCCCAGAGACTGAAGTCTGAGACCTGTCACGGGAGTGGGGAACACAGAGGGTCCAGGCCCCACCCTGTCCAAGTCCCTCCAGCTACTTTAGCCCGCCCCCAACCTGCCTAGCACACCTCACAGAGGGAGGGGCAGCGAAGGGGTGCTGTCTTGACCAGATAGCCATCTTTGTAGACATGGACCTGGTTCTGGCTGAAGGCCCGGCGCGGCACATGGACAATGGCTACACAGTGCTAGAAGAGAAGCCACATCAGGTCAGGCCGGGACCAGGTCCTCCCTCCACCCCCGAGGCCACGCAGATGCAGGCTCACCCAGGTAGAGTCGGCAAAGGACACTTCGGGCAGGCTCATGGTCAAGTACTCCTTCCGGGTACACACGGCCACTACCAGTGTCCCGGACGCCGTGAAGAAGGCCTCAAACCCCGAGCCGCTGCTGGTGAAGAAGCTGGGGGCAGGCCAAGCCAGTTATGCTGACTTACTCTGTACACCCTGGCTCTGCTCCCTGGTCCCCAGCAGTCACCTACCTGTACAACTGCTTTCGCTGGGGAGGCCGGCTGGGGGCCATGGCCGGCGCTGGGGCGGCGGGGTGCAGACAGAGCCAGGCGTGGAAGGTGAAGCCGGGTCCGGGCCACCGCTGCACAGGAGGCACCATAATCCCCGCCATGCCAGGTGTCAGGTCGAAGTAGCGCAGGGCTCGCGGGGGACCCTGGTGCCGGGCCATGCCTGACAAGGCCCGGATGATGGCACCTGCATGCCGGGCCTTCCCAGACTCCGGTCCATCCAGCCCCGAGTCCAGCCCCGGCGGGGGGCGCAGCAGACGCCGCAGCTCCAGTGGCCTTAGAGACACGCGCCCCAGTGCTTGCAGCAGTGCCAAAAGCTGCTCCTGGCAGTGGGGCCCCAGGGCCACCCCTGCACTGAGCGTCTCCAGCAGGCAGTCCACCAGGCCTGCCTGCACACAGGTGGCACGGCTGGCAGAGCAGCTGTCACAGAGCCCCCAGAGGCGTCGCGCGAGGAAGAGCCGCAGCTCGGCCGTGGGCAGTGCCGGCAGCCACTGCATCAGCACCAGCACCGGCTGCTCGTTGCGGATTGGTGGCGGCGGCGACGTGCTGTGGTCACCCTCCACAGCCTGTGGGTGCAGAGGATGTGACAGTTCCCGGGCAACTGGCGTGCAACAGGCCACCGTGCCAACAGCGGGCTCCCCATTTCAATTGCCTACAGAGCCCCCGGCCCTGCTTACAGCTGTGTTGGAGGCTCAGGCAAGTCAGGGCCGTGCGGAGGACTGTAGCTCCTACCAGCTGCCCTTCAGCACCACTGCCTGGACTTCCAGCCTGGGTCGGCCTCAGCCCAAATGCATGTTCCCAGCCTGATTCCTAACTCGCTAATGTGCAGCCCTTTCTGGGCCCCTGCAGCCCAGAATCCTCCCCGTGAACTGCCACACGTGGTTAGGCCACGGGTCACAGTATGTTATGTACTGGCCACTGTCAACATCAACTGGCCACTGCCCCAGCTCGCCGTCCACGGAAGCCCTGACTTAGTTCCTGGCTGCCCCGGGGCCCAAGCCCCAGCCTCACCATGTTAAGTAGTTCTTCCAACAGCCGCTGAGTGGGGGGACCGTGGCTCTGCAGAACCTCGTGAAGCTGAGGGTAGCCGATGCGTTCCTTAAACACCTCCTGTGCCGGGTTGTGTGGAGAAGGGTAAGTGTGTACACGGGCCTCAGTGCCTTGAAGGGGGCATCAGTTTTCAGGGCTCCCTTGCCTAGCTCTCTGGGTCAGTGTTAGCTGGGCGGGTGGATGCTGGAACCCACAGGGTTCGTCCCCCACCAGCACTGATCCAGTGCATCTGGCTCTCGGGATTGACCAAGGACCGTGGCGGCCCAGTGGGATGAGCTTTACCCTAGAGAGCAGGACGCTCATCACCCCTGCTGACTTGCTCTAATAGGCAACAACCAGGCCAGTTCTGGTGCCCTGTGATCAACTGAAGTCCTTCCCCACCCGCACCAGCACTGGACAGCAGGCGGTGTCCTCACCTTGGCTGAGGGAGAGTCACTCATGATGCAGGTCAGCACCCTGACGACGTGGACTGCAATGGCATCTGTGTCCTGGTCCAGTACCTTGGGATGGCGAGGGGCTATTAGGAGGGGCACATGCCAGGGTGTCACAACCGGCAGCCCCTTGAGTTAAAGGGAACAAGCCAAGGCAGGGGGCCCCGGGAAAGTGGCAACCAGGTCTTCTACTCTTGCCCAAACTGCTATGGCCCTCACCCCAACCCTAGGGCCCTCTTGGGCAGCGTGGCAAGCTCTGCAAAGAGTCAAGGAGGAAATCAAGGCTGGGAAGGGCCTCACCGGGACAGGTCAACAGCAGGCCTCCACTGAACCCCTGCCCCTCCTCCGACTGCCGGAGAGGTGGACCTCCACACCCACCTATTCCCACTCACGCTAGACACACGTGTGCAGGCAGACCAGCGAGTGTCCCATCACCCACGATGATTAACAGGAGGTTGGGGCATTTTGGAAAGCTCAATCACAGGGTGTTAGAACCAGAAGAACCTTCGAGACCTTTGAGTCCTACCCTGCCTCTTGCCACTGATCCAGGTGGGGACACTGAAGCTCCCTGGGCTGCACCAGACAGCCTAGGACGTGCCCCCTCGCCCTGCCCTTCCCCACCGTGAGGAGGCGGGGGCTCGGGAGCATAGAGGGTGGGCCAGCGGTGCTGGGCCACATCTTGGCCACAGGGAGCCTCTGGCCCCTGCTTTGCCTTGATTGATTTCAGGCCACTTCTGCCCCTCACATTTGTAAAAACCAGGGCCAGCCACTCTCCCCTTGCCAGCTTTATTGCTGAATGTCTAGGCAGCCTCTAGAAAATGGTCAAAACATGGGGCTGCCTCGGGAAGGCAAAACCAGGGAGGCGCTCTGCAGCTGGGGCCCAGGTAGGGAGCTGCCAGGTGTGCCACCTGGATAGCCTCCAGCTGACAGCCTGCAGCCTCCCACAGCCCCACATAAGGTGAGGCAGGGAGGGCGACAGGAGGGCATGGGGGCTGCAGTGACCTGCTCAGGGCAGGGGCAAGGGCCCATGGAAAGCAGTGGCCCCATGTGGGGGTTGGGGAGGCTTTTCTCTCTGTGAGTGACTACAGCCAAAGCCCTGGGCACCCGGACTCATCTATTTCTCATCTGTGTAGCGGGTGGGTAGTTGAGTTTCGAAGGTTCTTTCTAGCCTGGCACAGCTAAGATCCCAGCTCCCAGTTGAATACTAGGCAGGGCGCAGACCACTCCTGTCCCACTCCCGAAGATGGGACTTGGGACAGAGGGTGAGACAGCCAGCCTGGGGGACTCACCCCCTGTCGCTAGGCCACAGCAGGCCTTGCACATTCATATTGCCTTGTCTCCCTGCTTAGTGCAGGAAAGGGGCCGTGAGGAGCCTCAGGGGGTGGGTGCCCAGGAGGTGAGTGCCTGAGCTGGTCAGCCCCAGGACGGTACCTTCTGGACATCGGGCTCGGTCAGTAACCGGGTAGCCAGGTCACTGTCCCCCTCAGGGGGCGCCCGGGTCTGCAGATACAGCTGTGGGGGAGGGGAAGGGCACAGGGTGAAGGAAGCAGAGGAGAGAGAAGATGGAGAAGGGCGGGATTAGGGCGGGACCTGGAGCGGCTGCCAGGGCGCTGCCCCAGAGGCAGGAGCCCTGTGACCCAGGCCGAGTGGTGGGGGGCGGTGTGAGGAGAGGAAGAAACTGGGCAGGAGGAGGCACTGCCTCTAAAAGCAGGGCACCCTCGTCCTGCCCCTGCACTTGGAGCTAGAGAAAAGGCAGACAGGATGGGCCAGGGCAGCCCCCACCTTTCCAAAACACGTTCCTTTGGATTCAGTCATCCAGAGCCCCGGCCAGTCCTTGTGCACATCCCAGGCCCTCCCACTGACCTGCAGGTCATCCCCCCGGTTGGGTCCAGCCCAAGTTTGCTCAGCAGGAGCTCAGCAGCATATGTGTAGGATTCTCAGCCTCTGGGATCTAGGCCCTTCCAGCTCGGCCTGGGCTGCTCACCTTGCTATTCTGGATGAGACGGATCAGGTGTTCAAAGCAATTGTTGCTGAGGAAGGTGGCCTGCAGCACTGGCCGGTCCTCGCAGGCCAGCATCATGGGAATGGCATCTGTGGAAGGAGAAGGGTCAGGCCCTGCCCTAATGCCCTCCCAGCAGCACCTCTGGGCCCATGCTGCCCACTTTTCTATCATCACTTGTGCCTTCCCCTCCTGGTGCCACCTCTTCGAGAGTCTGGACGCCCATACCCACCGAGCATGCTGACCCGTAGAGTGATGAGGGCCTCTTCAGGGCCTGGGCTTGGCCCCGCTGGCCAGTCAGCATTAAGAACTCGGAAGTAGCCCTCGAGCAGGGCGCGGAGCTCTGGCCCGCGGTGAGGTGTGCGGCTGGCATGCAGAACATGGATCGCACCCACCAGGGCCTCTAGCGCCAGCAGCACTAGGCGGGGGTCCTGGGCTGGCCGTTGCCCCCAGTCCCGGACTACACCCAGCAGGCCCTGCACAGCGCCAGTGTTCACAGCCATCTGTCCGTTCTCCTGCAGGTGTGGGCAGAGTCGAGCAGTGGGCAAGGGGCTCCCCCAGCAGAGGCCCTCAGGCAGCTGCCACAGCTCCTCCCAGCTCCCAGCCTACCTTCCCTCCTGCAAGGATGGCGCCAAAGAGGTGGATGAGTCGCAGCAGCAGCATAGGAGGCAGGAGGTCTGCATCCTTCAGGGTTTCTGGTGGGGGGGTGGGGGGAGGCGGGCGGTGAGCAGGGCAGGGCAATGTCATCAAGGCTGCAGGGCTGTGGCCCCGGGGGACCACACAGAGGTGGGTGCTCTGAGGAGGGGCTGGGGGGCCGGGCCAAGGAACAGGGCTGTGAGTCCCGGTTAAGAAGATGTGTTTTGCCCTGAGGAGCCTAAAAAGTCCTAACCCTATGATGTATGTGGGGAGCGACAGCACTTCTTCGGGAAGCCCAAAAGGAACCCAGGCCTTCCCGAGAGTGTATCCGGCTCCCAGAGCCTTAAGCCCTAAAGTGGGGGCTCCAGGGTGAATACATCCCCTCTCCTGTCTGCCTGTACAGGACGACCCCAAGTTTAGTTTCTCAGATGCAAATCTCCTGGTCCCTCCACCCCAGTGACAGCTGGAGCTTCCTGTGACCTGCTCTGCAGCCACGCACATGCCCCCGTCCCTCCCGGTGCCCCTACTTGGGACTTCTAGGGGTTTTCACAGCTTCATGTGTGGGAGGCCCACCTGGCCTTGCTTCAGCAAACTGGACAGGATGCCAGGCCACGGACTGAAACCCAGAGAGCAGAAAGGACCGGCCCTGGGTCACAGAAGGGGGCCGGGGGGCAAGAGCAGGCAGGGCTAACTTGATTGAGGAGCGAGGGGGTGGGGGACCTCCTGGCCTATTGAGGTGAGGATGAGGAAGGGAGAGGCAACGGTGCAGGCAAAGGCCCAGAGTTAGAAAACTCGGTGCATTTTAGCAACGAGAGGCCAGGAGCATGGCTGGTGAGCAGAGAGCCAGTGTAGCTGGGAAGGAGGGCTGTGCGAGGGTAGGACTTGACCCTAAGGGGGTCAGCACCCCTGAAGGGACCTGTCCAGTGTATGTTGCAATGAATACTCAGCCTGCAGGAGAAGAGAGGTGGCAGGGGTGGGGGGAGCTCCCCTCTGGGAGCTGTTGCCCCCACTCAGGCCCAGGCCAGCCCCACAGGCCAGCTCAGCCCATAAACCCAGGCTAGTCTCCATCCAGTGAGAAGAGAGAGGAGAGGAGAGGAGGGTCACCGGGGAATGGCCAGAGATGGCCTGGGGATGAGCTTGTCTGAGTGAGCGAGCAGCCGTGGAGACAATGGCACAGACACTCTTGAGGAGGGGTCGAGACTGGGGAGCACAAAAGGGTTTGACTTGGGATGCTAAGATGGTCCGGACCAGGGCATGGTTTGGTGGCCGGAAGGATCCCAGAGAGGGGAAGGAAAGAGGAAGGAAACTGACCAGCCCCACCTGATGGGAGGCCTCCACTCCAGCTCAGAAAGAAATTCCTCATTTTGCCCAGGCTTGCCCTCTCTCTGTCCTCACTGCTTAGCTGAACTCCTAGTGCCCTGGGGGGCGGGCACTCACATTCCCGGGTTCTTTCAGCCCCATGTGCTAAGGGGGTCCCGTCCTGTGGTGGGACGGGGAACTGTAGGAAGGAGGTTAGGTTTGGGGGTGAGGGCAGGTGGCGCCTGACCTTGAAAGAAGACGTTGAATTCACAAGGCAAAGCCGCAGGAGGGAACTTGTACTTGTTCTTCTCCTTGGAGCTGATGACTTCCCTGGGGGTGGCAGTGGGGGCAGGGGGTGACCAGGGGCCAGCACTTCACCCCTGGTCATCACTTCACCAGCCTGCAAAGACGCCCCTGGCCCCTCCACGCCTTTACTGGAGCAGCCGCCCCTCCCCACATCCTCTCTCCAGCCTCCTCTGGGTCCTCGGGGTTGGGGTTGGGGTTGTGGGTCTGGCTCTCACCCACTGTGCTGGCGCCGCCAGGTCTGGTAGGGGTCAAAGAGGCCCTCACAGAGGAGCAGGGCATGCAGGGCAACGTTCTCCAGCTGAGGCCCACTGCCCTCCGGTGGCGGCGGTGGTGGTGGGGGTCCTTTGAGCTGTGGGAGTGGGGAAAGAGTGGAGAAGGGTTAGCGGGGCTACTGCCCGCCTCCCTCCCCTCCCGGGGCGGAGCCCACCTCACCTCGGCCACCAGCCGGGTCAGCAGTGCCAGCACCCGGGGCCCCAGCACTTGACCCCAGCCTGCCTCTATATTCTCCGGGTTCCTGGGGATTGCAAGAGGGAAGAGGTCATGGAACTGTGCCAGGAACACACACAGTTCTGTGCCTCCCTGAGAGAGAGGACCGCAGCAACCCACCTGCAGAGAATGATGAAGAGCTTCAGCAACAGCAGGGCTTGCTGCAGGTCCCGCTCAGCCAGCTGCTTGGCCAGCACATGCAGCGCGTCCTGTGGCAGCAGTGGCACCTCTGCCCCAGCCTCTTCTGGCCTGCAGGGAGGGGGTCAGTGGGGCGCCGAGGACCCCTCAGCCTCCCTGTCCTACCCTCGCCCCGCATGCAGCTCCAGCCTCACCTGCGTGGCTCCAGAGAGGATAGAGAGATGCTCTTCTCGAAGGTGCCCACAAAGGCCTTCAGCCACTGCTGCAGGTAGCCCAGGTCCTTCTGCAGGCAGAGGAGTTCAGGGAGCAGGGGCAGAAGGATGCAGACAGGTGGAGGGCGAACGGCATTCATGGACAGACGGGGTGGGGGCAGAGCAGGCGGTTGGAAAAGGAGGTGAAGGAAGGTGGGGGACGCGGGAGGTTGAAAGGTCAGAATCAGGACTGTTGTACACATTGACCCTTCCTCCAGGGTCTCTGCTTCCTTCAGGCGGCCACCTCTGCCCTCACCTCCCTAACCCTTGTGGCTGCGGGCAGGCCTGAGAGGCAGGGGAGGGACTTATGGACACCCTCGGGTGTGGCTGTGGCCACACAGGTGCAAGGCTGACAATCTCCCACCTCCTCCCAAAGTCTGAGTCTGGGTCCTCGCCTGCTCCCTTTTCCTAGCTCAGCAGTCACCACCTCCAGGATGCCTTCCCTGACTGTCAATCTCAGGACACACGTGCAAGCAGACCCTGGCACAAGCATACCCCCACAGGTGCAGGCAGAACGCCTTTCCTCACCCTGGGAACCTCGCCCACCCTGGCCAGTTACCTGGACCCCAAGCCCCAGAGTTGGTTCCATGGCAAGAGGGGCAGTGGCTGGACCCCAGTCTAGGCGCCACCAGGGAAACTTTGGTGTGAAAGGGAAATGTCCCCTCCCCAAGCAGCCCAGTGGGGCAGGAAGCGCAGAGTCACGGTGGGGGAGGGGGACTGCTTCCTCCCTGCAGACCACAGGGATGTTGGTGGTGGTGGGGGAGTGGCCAGGGGCACCCAGGGCCCAGCAAGAGGGGTTGGAGGGACCTGGCCCAATGCTGGTGCAGGGCCAGGGACGCAGAGGGAGAGGGTCACATTGCTTTGGCTTTGGCTGCTGGACCAAAAAGTTATTTTAAAGGCTTGAGGTCTGCAGTCAGGGCAGGTTTAGGGTCCTGTAGACATACAGTCTCTTATCCAAGGCACCCACAGCTCCCTGGCCGGGCCCAGGCGACAATGTGGAGCACTCATGGGCTCAGCCGCTGGGTCCTTCCCACCTGGCCCTGCTAAGTCCTAGCCTCCCCGAATTCGCCCTCACTGCTCAGCCCTTCCCAGGAGTAGGTCTGGCCTGGGCCTGAGCTCCTCTTTCCATTCCTTCCTCCTTCCTCCATGTTGGCCCCATCTGAAACTGCCACCCCAGCTATCTGTTCCCAGAAGGTTAACTTCTTCCCCAGGGGGCAGAGGGCTAGAGGCTGATGGGGTAAGGGCAAAATAGCACCAGCAAGCTGAGGCTGCTCCTCAGTTGCCAAGGACCACAGTTCAAGAACCTCTAGAACTGGGCCTCCCCGGTGGTGCAATGGGTTGGAGCACAGCACTGTGCTGTCCGCAGCCACTGCAGCATGAGTTCGATCCCCCGCCAGGGAGCAGACCCACACAGTGCAGCAGACCTCTCCTGTCTCACCTGCTGCTCCCCTCAGCAGTGTCTTTCAGTCAATCTGACTATTCTGTTCTCCGCTCTGTCACTGGTGAACCCTCTCACTCTCCTGTACCTCTGGCCTGTACCCCAGTTCTTCTATACACTCACACACACACCAAGTGAACTGAGAGCCCCAACCTGCTGTGGTGGTGTAGGGATGGACATGCAGGTTGGTGGAGAGCAGAGATAGGTGAGCAGGAGGCTACCAGTGGCAGAGGTGAAGAAGACTTGAATCACGGACAGTCAAAAAGTCACAGTCACTGCCTCTTGGCGGCCCTGGCCACACACTAAGTTACCTGGGTCTGAGACTGATGTCAAAATGCAAAAGGAAGGAGCCAGCAACGGAGTTGGGGACTGCTCCGCTGGGCTGGTGGCCGGGCCCAGTCTACTGTGGCCTATATGAGCAGCCAGAATCACTGTCCATCCAAAGGCAGTTCTGCTCATGGGCTGTTTGCCTATGAGACAGGAGAGGTCTGCTGCACCATGTGGGTCAGCTCCCTGGCCAGGGATAGAACCCAAGCAGTGACAGCACTGAGATTGATCCCTAGGCCACCAAGGAGGCCCCGTCTTAGATGAACTTTTTTGAACTCTGCCATTGCAGGTGAGGAAATGGGGGAGTCCCATGGGGACTGTCACATCACTACCAAAGCTTTATCTGTATTTTGGAAGTTGCTGGAATCCAGGCCAAAGCTCTAGTTCAGGATTACACCTGATTGCTAGCCTACGCAGAACATGTGATCCCACAGATCCCTATCTATCACCAAACTAGTCACCTCTCAACCAAAATGTGGCTCCTTTTTGCCTACCACACCTCTGCCGAGCACCGGAGAACTCAAATTTGACCATGTCCCACCATTCCAATCTAAGAATAAGGCCTCAGCTGCTGACCTGACATTCTAGGCTCTCAGTCCAGCCAGGGCCTGCTCTCTGGCTAGTCTAGCCTCATCTGTGGTCCACACTGTCTGCCCAGGTCCCGCCACCCCAAGCCCCACTGCCCTGTGATTTGGGTTGCTGGTACTTAAGCAGGGTCCTCTACCCTCCCTGTGGCCAACATTTGCATCAGCCATGGGTAGGCTCCTCAAACTCTGTCCACTTCTGTTTTCTGTTTCTAGAACCACAACCACTGCCTGACTCTAGTCCAGCAAACTTGCAGGAGATTCAGGCTTGGGTGGGTTCCAGGCTGAAGCAATCAAGATAACTTGGGTGGGTTCTGAAGGGGGCAGAACGGTCTCTGAAGCAGCACTGGGTGGGGTGGGGACTGTCTGTCCCATCTCTGTGGGTCTCACTTCTCCCTAGGAGGCTGTCTGGCTCTGAGCTGGGTCCAAAGGCTTGAGGTTACAGGGTTGGGAGTCACTGGGGTCCCTGTGGGGATCAGGGCAGGAGATTGCGAGCATGGTGGCTTTGCTGCACTCAGAAGGGTCCAGAGCCAGAAGAGCGGTCTGTGGTGCTTGTGCTCTCTGCTGCTCAGAGGGACTCTACCTCTGCCGGCTCCTTCTTCCCTTCAGCTCTGCACAGGAGCACTGGGCATGGCCAGCCCGGTCCCCTCTGCAACCTGACAGGGACAGGTCCCAACTGCCCCTCCCCTGAAGGTTGGTCAGGAGCAGCCACTTCTCCCCAGGGCCATGGGTTAGTGGTGCATGGTGCCAGGCCCAGGGGCTGTGAGTATGGGGGGGATCAGTGTCCCTGGAAGGCGTGGGTCGCACAGACCTTGTCTCTGAACTATGACTGACCAGTCTTGAGGGCACTCAGTACTGGTGATGGGAGGCTCCGAAGGGTTGTTTAGGTCCAAGTAGACCCTGGGGGGAGGGCTGGAACTGCCACTTACTCAGAACTGCTGCTGGTTGGGGGGTGTTTTGGGGGAAGGCTGAGGGGAGGGGGCTGTGGTGCGGATGGGAGGGTGGGGCTGTTGGCTAGGGAGCAGGACCTCTGAGCTGCTTAGCAGTGTGCTGCCTGAGGCCTGCTAATGGTGTCTCACCTGCCACCCAGTCCTTAAACAGCCCCTGGCACCCGTGTGTCTCCAGTAGATGTTGTAGGTTACTGTTACAGTCCCATCAGCCAGCCAGCCAATCACAAGTATTAGGGTAAGTCAACAGCGCCCCCTGCCTGAAGCCCTGTGTGGGTGGGGCCCACTTCATATAAGACCTCAGCACCCACCTCCAAGAGACTTCAGCCCAAGCACATTACTTGCTGCCCCCAGCCACACAGGCCGCGATGCTTCGCTCTCCACTGTTCCCTCCGCCTCAGTGTTGCCAGTGCCCACCCAGTTCGGTGCTGGGAGCCTGCGGTTGCCAAACTGTATCAGTGACTGCGGGCATGGCTTCTGGAGTTCAGCCCCGGTTCTCACACTTAGTAGCTTGTTACTTAACATTAATCTCTTTCGCTTCAGCTGCCTTTTCTAAAACATCCCTTTGCATAATGGGCAAAGGCTCTCCAGCCACACCCACCAGCATGTGGTAAGGGAAGTGGGTGCCTCACCCCCAGATTCAGGGGCTCTGCCTTCCCAAGCCCCTGGCTTTCTCAGGCACTCTAATCTTCTCCCTGCCCACCTCTGTGAGTGGCAGATGAGCCACAGAACTTGTCTCACTGGCAGGGCCACATCTTCCGGGCTGCTCTCTGCACTCACCCCCACCCCCACCCCATTCCTGGTAGGGGTAGCCTGGACAGGCCAGGTCTGCAGAGGAGCAGGAGGGAGAGAAGACTGAAGACTGAAGCTCCGGAGTGGGTGAGCCAGTCAGAGCTGCCTGGGTGGCTGCGAGCACCCAATTCCCCGGAATGGGCAAGCAGAAGTGGCACAGTGTGGGTGAGGGCCGACCAGGATGACCTCCAGCAGGCCTGCAGGCCGCCCCAGCCAGCAGCAGGATGGGGAGAGCTTGTTAAAACAAAGGTGATTTCTGGCTACAGAGGTCAGACTTGAAGGAGCTCAAGCCAAGGGAGGAAGCAGCAGGGTGCTAGGGAT